AAAGAGAATTAGATGAAAAGAAAATACAATTATCCATCAATAATAGAAGAAAGAAAGGTGAGATAGATAGATGAATCTTCAAACTTATAAAAATAGCCTTGCAAACTAGTTCAAGCATATTAGCTTTTGTATAGGATTAGTAGAAAATAATATAATCAAAAAAGTCACTAACCTAAATTGCCATGGTAAGAAGATAAGAACAATGGTAAAAAAATAGATTTTAAGAGTACAAAAGAAGGTTTGCAATCAGATCCATAAATAAGTTTGGAATATAAGATGTGAAAAGATCATAGAATGGGAATAATCACAAAGAATTAATAGAAGAGTGAAATACAAGAAGATCCAGAAAGTAAGAAGACAAGATACTCAGTAAGAAGATTCTAACCATAAAATTATAAGGTAAAGAGAAAATAAAAGAAAAAATGAAAACAAAAATCTTATAGAAATTATAAGAAATGAAATTAAGTATAGGACAAAATGATTGGGTTTTGATTCTTGTTAAAGCCTCAAAAAGTGATTTGTAGTAGTTATCTGCAAGTGATAAAGTTAGAAGTTAAAAGAATTTCTATCTAAACTACTAATGAAGTGATAAATCACTCCTGAAGTTGTACTTAGCGTTTTGAATAAAAACTTTAATAAGTGAGTTAGTTAGAGATTTAGCTTTAGTATTATATACAGTATATAATGTAAAGCCTACAACTGTTTAATAAAGCACATATAACTGACCTGATAGAAGGTTAAAAAAATATATATATATAGTATATACATATATAGTATATATTATATATAATATATACAGTATATAGCATATGTTATATATATAGTTATTTCTAAAATTTTTAGTTTATTTATTATATTTTATTATAAATTTTAACTTTATTAATTTTTTAGCTTTTAATTATATAGTTAAAAATTAAAAATTAAATTTATTTTTTATATTTTTTTCAAAAAATTTCTATATATAGTTTTTAAAGTTTAAAAAAATTTTTTTAATTAAAATTTACTTTTTAACTATAAATTTTATAATAATTAATAAAATTTTTAACAATAATTAAACTTACTTTAGAAATTATTTATAAAAAAATTTTTTTAAAAAATATAAAAATAAAGCTAGTATTAAAATATAAAGTATATAAATTTTAAAAATTTTTTATTGACTAATTAATGATTTAAATATTAAAAAGTTGAAATTTGCAATAAAAATATAATAAGTGGACTAAAACTTTTGAATATAACCATATTAAATAATATTTAATTTTTTTATAAATCTCTAAATAATATATAATTTAATTTTTTAAAAATATAATTTTTATTTAATAAGTAATAATGTTCTTAAATATAATTTTTTATTTAATAAAGTGATAGCATAAATATAAGATTATGTTAGCATTAAAAAAAATATTATAAATTATTAGAAATTTTCAATATTATTTTATAAATATATTAATTATAATACGAATAAACGCTTAATTCATTGAAAGTATTTAATAATAATAAATATTAATTATTATAAATTATAAAATAAAATTTTATTAAAACATAATATTTTGACTTTTGAAAAAATAGTAGAGTTCATAATAAATTTACAAAACTCATCTAGTGTAATAAAAGCTTTCTCATCAGTCTAATTAAATATAGTCAAACATCCTTGTATTGAAAATGAAAACATGAATAATTACTAAATATTAAATCAAAATACATCGTTTTCTATATTAATTTTAAAAAAAAATCGATTAGCTTTTATGGTAATATAAATGAACACATCATAATAAACACTGTTCACAATTGAAAGAGGTGTGTCTATTAATAAAAAATTCGTTAAATATTCTTACCACAATAATTTTCTATTGGATTCTAAAAATAAATCAAATATACTTTATAGTCTAATAAGTACTGCATCTAAATCAGTTTATAGTGTCTTGTTTTTCTTTTTTTTCAGACAATAACTAGCAATTTAAATATCATATAGAAATATTAAATCAAACTATCCCTGTTCTATGTGCCATCACGACTCCTATAATGGCGAATATCAACAATCCTGATAGTATAGAAACGAACCAAGTCAGTCCTTCCGCTTCCTGACCGGGAACCTTGACGTTCATCCCCCATAAGCCTATATAGTAGTAGTAAGAATTCGCCACAAATGCACAAATCGGAAGTGAAACATCATTACTTGTTATGCAGAAATAAAATACCTGTAACAAGATTCATGGGAATTAGTATTGTGCCTAAGGCGGTAAGACGGGATAGAATATCATTGATCTGATTATTAGCCTGTGTCATTTCGATGGATATTTGAGCCAAATAATTTGAGTGAGAACGTGAAAGAATTTTTTCGTAGTGGTTCAAATTTTGAACCATGGTAATTATATGGTCTAAGTTGGATGATTGCAAGTTATTAGATTACAACCAGCAAGAGAATTTTTATTAGAATTGGACTAATAAATTTACCTTGTATATCACCCATATATAACACTATTTCGTTACTAATGACCACATCCCATTTGAGATCATTACATCGTTTAATCAATCCTTTCATTACATCAGCCTTACTCCCCAATAGTCTTAATAATCCTAAAACTTTTTTTCTACAATGACCAATCCGACGTAACATGTCGGTTTGTTCGGATTCCTTTAAGATTAAAACTAACTCATCGATCGAGTCAACTTCAAATTCAATTGTGCGAATAAGTGGGGCGAAAGAATCCGTAATGTCGTCAATAATGGCATAACTGATCCAATCTGTTATCATTTGATAATGGTTAGCACTTACAATAGAATTTATTATTATTATTATTATTATTTTGAGAAATACCTTCATACCAGGTGTAACAGTAATATAATCTTTTAATTGCTTTATGCGTCGCCGCACGTTCGAAGGGTGAGGTGTTGGTCGAAAATGAAACTAATCGTATGAATAAGATAAGATATC